GTGATCCCTGCCTTCCTGCCCAGGCCAGGCCGGCTCAATGGGGGCTGCTGCTCCCAGAGTGTCCCCAGCAGCGAGGCACAGCTGTGCCCACGTGCCTTCAGGCCAGTGGTGAAGAATGGCGTGGCTCCTGCCTTCGTGTCCAAGCTAGGCCAGCTCAATGGGGGCCGCTGCTCCCAGAGTGTCCCCAGCAGCGAGGCACAGCTGTGGCCAAGTGTCTTCAGGTGAGTGGTGAAGAATGGGGTGATCCCTGTCTTCGTGCCCAGGTCAGGCCGGCTCAATGGGGGCCGCTTCTCCTGGAAGTGCAGCATCTGCCACAAGTGGTGTGCCACCCAGCCAGCCCCTTCTGCAGCCCAGCCTTCCCGGTCTGCTGTGCAGCCTGCTGAAACAAGGATGCCTGCCTCCAGTGGCCCCTGAGCACACCAGCCTGCTGGCCCCATGGCTCCTGAGAGTAAGGACCCTGCCACCCACTCCTGAGACCCAAGCCCCCAGCTCTTTCCTAGTGCTGACCCCTGCTCTACCCCGAGGTGTGACACTGACAGCACCAGGTCATCAATGTCATCACCAGGTCAACAAGTACTATCCAGCTGACAGACCTACCTAGTCTCTGACCCCCTTGTCCTTACCCTACCTAGTCCCCCAAGCCAAGTATGTTGTCTAGACTGAGCCCACTGCCAAGTCCCCACTCTCCTCCTTCTTCACCTACTGCAGCTACTGCTGCCCTCCCCTTCGTCCTCAAACCCACCTGAGGCCCCACAGATGGGGAGATCCGCCACCCCAATCTTCGGCTCAGCACTGCTTGCCAGGACTCCCTGCTTCTCCCTATCTAGCACCCCCAGATTTCTGACTGAGCCACCAAGGTGGTTGTGGTCATGCTGTGGCTCTTTACTTCCTTTCCAAGGAACTGGAAGCCAAAGATCTCTGTAGAAGATGCAGGATGACATCAGGCCAAATACTTTTGGACGTGGAGGACTAGTCTACACTCTATACTGGAGAGACATCATACATTTATTCACACCCTTGCCTTCCCCTGCTGCCCTCTCTTCCCTGCCCTTTCTAAGGTGGGAGGGGGGATTTATTGCATCATCTCTCATCATCATGCCTATATAAAGCACATGTGCTTTTACAGAATTCAGTTATGTGTTACTTTTTCTTCTTGAAGTGTATCAAGAAATCTCAACCAACCAACCAAACAAACAAACAACAACAACAAAAAAAAAAAAAACATGCTTACAAATCATCCATGGTTTCCACATTCACACTGTAGTGAGTTGTTGGTGTTAGGTCCTGTGGAGTCGACTCTGATTGATGCTGCTCTTACGAAGAACAGAACGAAATGTTGTCCAGTCTGGCACCATCTTCATGATTGCTTGAGTCCATTGCTTCCTCTTGTGTCAATCCATCTTATTGTTTCCCTCATTTCACTGACCCTCTACCAACTACGAACTAGTTTCCGTTCTTCCCAATATGAAAGGCTCCTGTTAGCAGTTTGGGGGTACAATCCAATCTCTGCTTCCCATTCCCTTCCCTGCCCTGGGAGGGCACCTTTAGCTGCTCTGAGTCCAGTGAGAAAGCACACTCTGAACACACCACCCTTTGGTAGGTATAGCCCTCGGGTTCTTGTTTGTCACTCCCAAGCCCACTCAGATGATGAGACTTTCTTAGGCTGTTCTCTAAAGGAGGAAAACCATTGACATCTATATATACACAGAGGGAGAAAGATTTATTTCTAGGAGGTGGTCTTGCAGTTGTGGATGCTGACAAGTTCCAAATGCATGGGTCAGGCTTCAGGCTGGAGGCATCTTCTGACTCTTGTGGTTGCAGGGGCTGATGAACCAAAATCAGCAGGCCAGTTGGCAGGCTGCTGGCTCACGGGGCTGTAGGAGTTGGTGAATTCCAAAATCAACAGGTCAGATGGCAGGCGGCTGGCTCACATCCCAAGAACCAGAGGTCAGAGGATGACCAGTCTGATGCAGGATGGAGAGTGCGAGCTTTGTCAGAACATTGACATACATGGGATGTAGGCCACACCTCCAAGGAAACTCCCCTTTACCTGACTGGCTGCTCACATCACATCACAGAATTGAGGATAATTACAGAGTATCTGCCAAACCACTGAGAAATGATGGTATACCCAAGTTGCCACGTATCTATCCCATAGATAGAAATATACTTTGAAAAGAATAAAGTAGTGCATGGACTGCAAAATATAGGCTCCTCAACCCAATTAATTGGTCTTAATAAATATCTAAAATCAAAGAAACCAACCCTTTTTATATATTCACACATAGGAAGAAGTAATTACTACGTGGCCGACTAAAACTACATGCCTTCCAAACACCAAAAGTCAAACCCACTGCCACTGACTTGATTCTATCTCATAGCCAGCCTATGTTGTTGTTGTTGTTATGTGCCGTCGTGTCGGCCCTGACTCACAGGGACCCCTCCTTGGGTTTCTGAGGCAGTATCACTACGGAAGTAGATTGCCCAACCTTCCTATGGGACAGGGTTAAACTGCCCCATAGGTTTTCTAAGGCTGTGAATCTTTATGGAAGCAGATTCCAACATCTATCTCCCATAGCACAGTTGGTGGGTTCAAACCCATGACCTTTCAGTTAGCAGCAGAGCATTTAAACACTGAGTCACGGGGCTCTATACTGATGTCTTAAGTAGCATCACTTATGTCATTTCTTCAAGAGGGACATTAGGGGAAAAGATAACAGGCATAACTCATTTTATTGCGCTGTGCTTTATTGTTCTCGGCAGGTAATGCGACTTTTACAATTCCAAGCTTTGTGGCAAGCGTGCACTGAGTAAGTCTACTGGCATTATTTCCCCAACAGCATGTGCTCACTTTGCGTCTCTGTGTCACATTTTGGTAATTATCACAATATTTGAAACTTTTGCATAATGCTATTGCACATCAGTAGATACACTATAGTGCAAAGGTAACTTTTATATGCAGCTCCTGTGTGCCCCACGCTTCCGAGGCTCTGACCCTTGGTTTAATGCTCTGCTGTCACTGGCTGGAAACGTTTCAACATCCTGAGCATCATTTAGAATATATTCATCTGCACTGGCCCTGCTCTCAGCCCACAGCACAGGCTGCTCAGGCCAGCCTTCTCCCTTGAGACTTCTCCAGCACAGAGGCCAGCACCAGCTTCTCCCCACTGTGGAGCCCCACCGTATTCTCTGCAGCTCCAGAGACTGCTACTCTGGTTGCAATTTCAGATTAAACACAACAAAACGCAAACCTATTGCTGTCCAGTTGATTCTGACACATAGCAACCCTATAGGACAGAGCAGATGGGAATAGGTACAAATGTGAAAGTGTCCCTGAGCAACGGCAGTGGTTAATGCTATGGGCTGCCAGACTGGCAGCCCCAGTCCACCCAGTAGCGCCTCCTAAGAAAGGTCTGGACCTGACCTTCCAACAGATCAGCCACAGAGAACCACAGGCATGACAGTTTACTGACTGCATGTGGTTGCTGTGAGTCGCAATTGGCTAAACAGCACTGGTTTCACCTGTGTGGCAAGGGCCTACATTCACTGGGGATTTACTGTGAGTTCACTGTGTAAACTTAGTCACTGTGTGACTAAGCATTGTAGAAGGCCACTTTCTGTTCCCTGACCAAGAGAAGAGCTGGGAGTGCATTGGGTCCTTTAGACCCAGGGTCCCTGTGCGAGGATCCTTCTAGGACCAAGAGACATACACACAGAGAAAGCCTTTCCCTAAAGCCAGTGCTCTGAATTTGGGCTTCTGACCTCCTAAACTGTGAAAGAATGAATTTCTGTTGGTTAAAGCCTTCCATTTGTGGTATTTTTGTGAAAGCGGCAGTAGATAACGAAGATAGTCCCCTATAGTAGTCATGGAGGTAGAGGGCTAATGTTACTCGAGTCTTACAATAAACTCTTGAGGAAACTCACCCAAAACAGTCTGAAAATCTGTCCCACCAGTCCCAGACCTCATCTCTTCTGCTTCTACTGCAAATTGACAGAGAAAAGCCAGGACTCTTAAATAGGCAAGGATGGGAAAAGTCTGGGAAGCTCTCGCTCTCTGTGAGCGTGTGTGTATGTGTGTGTATACAGTTGGGCTGTTTTTGTTGTCCCAAAATTGCTAAAACCCAAAGCTAGAAACAAAAGCATCCGATGCTCCCACACTCTAGAGACTCCAACCAACAGCAGATGTGTCCTCTCAGGGACCTCCAAACTGAGCTTAGTATGACTCTGACTCTTCCCTTCAGCCACCAACCACCACTCTTTTCCAGTCTATGTAAGGATTTGGCAGGGAAGGGAGTGGAGTGAGCGTTCCAGGTGCCTTCCCTTGAGCTGAAGCAGGAAGGGGAGGGGAGAGGAGGGATGCCACCCATGCTCCCCTGCTCGCCCAAGTCAAGAGGTTTGTAGGTGAGAACCCCAAGACTCAAGATGAGTGAGAGGTCTTCATGCAAGGAAGATTGGCATCCAGTTATCTGCCTGGACACTGGTTGAGCTACACAAATCTGCATGTCTGGCCTGGAACTGCTGGTGAGAATTCTTGGGAGAGCTTGACAAACATTCTCTGAGGGCTGGGGTTGTGTGTGAACCTGGAGTCTGGTGCCCCCTCGTGGTTTAGAGATATCAGAACATGACCCAAAACCAAACCAAACTCATGAGAGGCTCAAAATTAACACCAAACACCAGGCTACAGATAAACACATAAACACCAGAGAGGACCAGATGGGGTCAGTGAACAGGAGTATACTCTAGACCAAGGATAGATTCAGCGGAGGCTAATCTTGCACAGATACCAGTGATACAAAATATCTGCAATCCTTACAGAAACAATAGAAGACAGACACAGAGCAGTCCCTCACAGACACCCAGACACTATGGGAGAGAGATCCGATAAATCTACCGTCTTAGGAACATAGTACTGGGGGATGCCAGACTCAATCGTCACAGCAAAATACATAAAGGCCTTGTTCCTCAACTACATTGGTGAGTAGTGACTGGGGTCTTAAAAGCTTTCAAGCGGCCATCTAAGATGCACCTAATGGTCTCCTATCGTCAGAAGCAAAGAAGAGTGCAAAATAAGAAATAAAAAAACCAAGGGTATTTGGAAGCAATCAGCCATAGGACACGATGGCCCTTGAGACCAGAAGAACTAGATGGTTCCCAGCTACCAATGCCAGCCACTGAGGAAAGATGAGATCTAGAGATTCAGGATAGAGTGGGAGGATAAACA